CACCTTAGTAGAAAATGGCCAAAAAGAATAAACTAAAAGTACCAAATAACATGTATACACAACAATAATGGCGTGCTGAACGATCTTCAAGGATCGAAAATATAACATCATCGATTAAATGTACGGGGAGACTTTTTACAGCCGCGACACGGCACAAATAACACAGATGTGACAATAAAATAGAGAAAAACAGAATCCCTAAAGAAAAATTCTGGAAACAAAGTGATCCCTCGGAAGCATTAATCAGAACAATATAACATAAGAATTGCAGGCTCGGTTTGATTGAGGGTGTACATGAGGGATAATGAATAAGTGCAACATCCCTCACGCCCCCTAGCACCGGCTTGAGCGGTACTCAATTCTCAACACTTTATAGTGTTGGTATCAATGATCCCGAAGGACCAGAAAATATAACAACACTGAAGTCCAACACAACAAAATTGAAAATGTTGCAGTCTCGGTTTGATTGAGCCTGTTCATGGACGGTACTGGAAAGTGCATGTTACCGTCCACGCCCCCTAGCACCGGCTTAAGCAGAATTCAACATTTAACACGAAAATGGTAAAATTTTGAATTTAGAAACATCCGTAGATGTGTTCACACGGCGGTTATCATGGAACCTTCAATGTGACACAGAAGTGCCATTCCATGAAAAGCGGCGTATGGTCCCCAAGTAAAAGAATGCTTTTACCCTAAACGAGAAAACAATGGGCGGAACTAAATAAAATGGAATTTTGAAAGGGGATCTGAGGTTATGAAGCCTGCATATCACAGATAAGACGTCAAAAGACAAATTTAAAAAGCAGGCAACATATCCTAAGGGTGATTATACAGTATTCAAGTAGGAATACTGGAACCACCCAAGTTCAAAATTGCCGAATAGAAGAAACTAAAAGTACCAAATAACATGTATACACAACAATAATGACGTGCTGAACGATCTTCAAGGATCGAAAATATAACTTCATTGATTAAATGTACGGGGAGACTTTTTACAGCCGCCACACGGCACAAATAACACGACTGTGATAATAAAATAGAGAAAAACAGAATCCCTAAAGAAAGTCCAACACAACGAAATTGAAAATGTTGCAGGCTCGGTTTGATTGAGCCTGTTCATGGACGGTACTGGAAAGTGCAAGTTACCGTCTACGCCCCTAGCACCGGCTTAAGCGGAATTCAACATTAAACACGAAAATGGTGAATTTTGAATTTAGAAACATCCGCAGATGTGTTCATACGGCGGTTATCATGGAACCTTCAATGTGAAACAGAAGTGCCATTCCAGGAAAAGCGGCGTATGGTCCCCAAGTAAAAGAATGCTTTTGCCCTAAACGAGAAAACAATGGGCGGAACTAAATAAAATGGAATTTTGAAAGGGGATCTGAGGTTATGAAGCCTGCATATCACAGATAAGACGTCAAAAGACAAATTTAAAAAGCAGGCAACATATCCTAAGGGTGATTATACAGTATTCAAGTTGGGTCTTTGGGGTCTGTTTTGTCTTCAGTCATAGTAAGAGTTTTCAACATTTTTTCCTTTTTATAATTCATTTCTCTAGTCAATTTACTAGCCTTACTTGATTTCCCTAAATTTCTTTCAACAGATTCTCTTAATCTATGTCTGATTTTGTGTACACAAACACCTGCTATATATCGTAACTTTGAAGAACCAGCATCAGATAACTATTGAGTGCTTGATGAAGAAGGTTGTGATGAAGGTGAAGGACTTTGGTTGACTTTAGTTTTGATCAATTCATCCATAATCCAAAATGCTATCTTTGTGGACATTTTATTTTGATGTTTAGTTATATGTTTTACATTAAATAATTTTCTTACACTGTCAATATGTTCTTTTCCAACCAAGAATTCCTGTAAATTTTTATAAGATAACATCCACTTTGTTGAGTTGTCAGACTCTAAACAAGTGTTCACTTTAAAATGAAGATAATAAATATGACTTATAAATTGTTGAGATGAAATTAAATCTGGTGTAAGAATCTCAACAAATTTAGGTTCTGCATTTAGATCAATGAAATCTTGTAATCTAAATGGACACAGTAATGAGGGAAGTTCAACTTCTGGATTTTCCTCATCTTCACTTTGGCTATCATAAGAATAAATATTCTCTTCATGAGATGTTTCCTTTAATATAGAGGATTCAATTATCCCACAACAGCAGTTTTTATCTTCTAAAACCGGTGAAAATGGTTTGCTGTAAAACTGATAAACTATATCAGGATGTTTAAAAGATGTGGCAGCTATATTTAAATTTCGGATTCCACCTTTTGATACTGCTCTTCCAACAACTACTCCTAATTGACCTATAGCGAAAAAAGATGAGCTATCAATTTCCAAGTTTGGTATTGTTTGCCCCTGAGCATTGTGTACAGTCATTGCAAATGCCAATAGAACAGGTATTTGTGTGCGTGATGCCACTATTTTGTTTTGTTTGTAATCAAACACTTCAAATTTCTGAGGCTTCAATACGAGCAGCCTGCCGTTGAAATTAATGATTGGAGGTGAATCTTTATTTAACTTGTGAACAGTACCTCGTTGACCATTAAATAAGCCTCCATCTAAGTTTTTGATGAGAATGATAGGAGCACCTTCTATCAGAATCAATGTCTTAGGAGCCGTTGATCTCATTAGAATGTATCTGTTGCCTGTAAATGAAAAACTACAACAACAAATGCTAAGTATGAATATACATTCTGATGAAAAGGCCAAGATGACTCTTGAAATCTCACCTGAAATAATTTGATTACCAAACTAGGTCTAAGATCTATTTCAGTCAACTTTCCCTTTCTATTTCAGTCAACTTTCCCTTTCTATTAAGTGACTATAATAAAATTGGACCCCAAGGAAATGAGAATTTCTGTAACCAAAATATTTCATGCAATTATTTTTTTTTTAACTTTTATAAACACATATGAATATTCCAAATCCAAAAAATTTATGATATTGTTTTTCAATGAAAAGGATTATGTGATATTCTATATAAATCAATGTAAACTATATCAAGGGGTATTATTATCAAGTTTGTTATAATAATTGTTTGCCTGCTAAGCACATCAGTCTTAGCAAGAGCACAGGGTTTGTAATTTAGTGTTCACTGGCTCAATCCGCAGGCACAGCAAAAACTGTAAACGTCAAATATGATAAACAAGATCAACAAGGAAAGGCGGCGTTCAATGAACGCAACCCCCTTATGATCAATGGTGTCTCTGTTTTAAATACACAATCATTTGGGATTAGTAGTTGATCCTTTTCATTCTCTTTTGGTAATTTTTGGGAAGGTGAAAGCCTACTAGGTGAACTAACCAAAAATATTTTATAATTGACCAAAATTTAAGTTAAATTCATTTTATAATTCAGATATAGACAGTAATAACATTACCTTCATCTTTGGCTTTGAAAACTTGACTTTCCCCTTCAATTTTGTCTAACAAATCTTCATTCATGTATCTGGAGTCAAAATTTGTACCATTCAGCCTTATGGTATTTTCATCTGGTACCATTACAGTAAGGCTTCTCAGTAATGGAATTGTTGCTTCAGTTGGTGAACCATCACACAACTCCTGAACTGCTTTAGCAAGATCTGGTTATGTTTGTCTAATCATCTGCAATGCAAGACAAAATGATGTCAAAACATACTGACTAATATATATTTTTTAAAGATTTTTGATATTATGGCGCTAACTAATTGGTTGAATTTAAAATACTGCATGTTTGTAACCTTGCTTTTCATTGGGTCTATATACATGTAGTTTTATATACATGGCTGCTGACAATTTATGGTAAATTCTTGCTTAATTCTCAAAAATATTATGCTTGCTGTATCATAAATTATCATATTGTGGTTCCTTGTTTATTATTAGTTATATAGATAGTTGACAGGTTATATGGTCCTATATAAACGGCTATTTGTAAATATAACCCGAGCTGTTAGGCGAGGGTTATTATGCCCCCACAGAGTGAGAGCATATAGCGTTGCACTTGTCCGTCCGTCCGTACGTCCCGAAATTTTGTGAACGCAACTCCTCTTAAACCGGATGGCAGATTTTGCTTAAACTTTCAGGGATGAACAACCTTAATGTGTAGATGGTAGTTAAAGAAGGAATTTTTGCTGCGACCAAATTTAAGAGAATTATGGCCCTTTGTTGATTTTTTCACTATATACCATTTAGAAATTTTGTGAACGCAACTCCTCTTAAACAGGATGGCAGATTTTGCTTAAACTTTCAGGGATGAACAACCTTAATGTGTAGATGGCAGTAAAGGAAGGAATTTTCGCTGTGACCAAATTTAACAGAATTATGGCCCTTTGTTGATTTTTTCACTATATACTATGTAGAAATTTTGTGAACGCAACTCCTCTTAAACCGGATGGCAGATTTTGCTTAAACTTCCAGGTATTAACAACCTTAATGGGTAGATGGTAGTAAAGGGACGAATTTTTGCTGCGACCAAATTTAACAGAATTATGGCCCTTTGTTGATTTTTTCACTTTATACTATGTAGAAATTTTGTGAACGCAACTCCTCTTAAACCGGATTGCAGATTTTGCTTAAACTTCCAGGGATGAACAACCTTAATGTGTAGATGGTAGTAAAGGAAAGAATTATTGCTGCAACCAAATTTAACAGAATTATGGCCCTTTGATTTTTTCACTATATACTATGTAGAAATTTTGTGAACGCAACTCCTCTTAAACCGGATGGCAGATTTTGCTTAAACTTCAGGGATGAACAACTTTAATGTGTAGATGGTAGTAAAGGAAGGAATTTTTGATGCGACCAAATTTAACAGAATTATGGCCCTTTGTTGATTTTTAGTTTTCAACTTGTGGCACATGTAGTCCAAAAAATATTTGACCTAGAGTCATAAGATTGACAGAACAGTGGCGTGTGGGGGCATCCGTGTCCTATGGACACATTTCTGGTTTTGGATGCAATAGTAAACATAGTTAATTCAATACACATATTTATTTCTTTGCGTGCCATATACAGCAAAAAGTGAAGATGCTTTATAGCAATTTATAGTCATTCATTAATAACTTTAGTAATAATGAAAAAGGACATGATGATGTCAACTTCTTTAAATACCTTTGTTAGATTAACATGGTGTGGAAATGCTATGTCGAACAACTGACTAGTAAAACAATAGTCTTTGTCATCATCCACATACTTGTTTGGTACAGGGGGCAGTTGCTTAAAATCCCCACAACCAATTATCTGAAACAAAAATACATTCAAAGCTAACAAAGGATAGCATGTGAAAAGAAATTAAAGTGTAATAAGTAATACCATAATTATAATCATTAGGGCTCATAAGAGCCTTTAAGATATTCTATGCTTATCCTCAAGTAAAATATTCTAATCACAGAAATTTATTGAAATCTATAAAACTTTTTTACTGTTTTTCACTGGCAGTTTTTAATGACACAATAATTATATTCATATTGTGACCAGCTACAATGTGTTGAATTTTAAACATATCTACAGTTGTATTAAGTCAAAACATGTTTATTTCATATTTAGAACAAGGCTTGAAGTAATTATCAATATTTCCAAATATCAAATTTGAGCATAGTATATCTTTAAAGCTGCTTGGCTCCAAATATTTAAACAAAATCAAGTAAAAGAAAAATGGTCTAAGACTTTAAAAAAGTAAAGAAAGAAATGCAATTGATATTATGGTATACATTTTATACTCAATTAATGTCAGATCTTGCAATATCTATCATTGTATTTCTTTGCATGACTATTGCATTTAGGGCTACTTATGCACATTTGGACCTTAATTCAATATTTTTTTGTGACTTGTAATGTTTGCAGTCACTGTGCTTTATTCATTTGACAATATTTTACCTTAAAATATATTTTAAAATTTTCATAAAAATTATTAATTTGGTTATTAATTGAAGGGTGCTGCTTGCACATGCAAAATAACTGCAGAATATTTTTTCCAATAATAAAAGGGTTTTTAAGATTAAGGTGAACAATACAGGAATATATTTAGAAAAATAAACTGCTGGAAAGCAGCTGCCATGTCTTTTATATATGACAGGCAGGGGGTAGAGACAAGGGATGGGGGGTAGAGACAAGGAAAAGGTTAATTTACCTGTAATCCACCAAAACATAGGTTGTTATTCTTGACATGTCTGCAAACGTTTTCTACTAATTCAAAAGTTCTTCTGGACAACATACTTATTTCATCAATTATTAAACAGCATGTGTTAGATATTCTTTCTTTCGCTGAGGCGTAATTGTCATCGTAATCAAATAATGCTTTCAACTTATCCACACTATAACGCCCATCTCCCATTCCTGCCCAATGATGTAATTAATGTTGTAGCATGATTGCCCAACTGCAAGCTGGCCATCAAAGTTGTTGCAGTCACAGCAATGTTCTTACTTTTTGACAATGTTGTGATAATTTCTCTGAAATAATCATAGAATTTATCAATTTACTTTCCATATATGTAATGTTTTACTTAAAATTAGAAAAAAAGTTCAAAACTGGCTTTAAATACTTCCCCATATCTAGCTAACACAGCAAAATTTGTTAAGAATTACTTCCATATATTTAAAATGTTGCAAAACATGGTGCAGAAGCAGTGTTTTTTCACTCTATATAACAGAGGCTTATAAAAGGCCTCTTCCAAATAGGAATTTTATTTAAAATCATGCAGTTTCCCCAAAAATCCAAAGTTACATCCCAATATAAAAATTTTAATGGTAGTCATTGGCTAAGGCCTTTTCCCAATAGGCAGAATTTAATAAAGAAAATTATATTTTATCTGTACTTATTGATATATTGTCATGGATCAAGCACACAGCAATAATGATTGTCATACTGCAATGTTATGTCAATAAGGTCTATTTTAATTCATCTACATTTAAAATTTTAAAGATATTGTTTTATTTATATAAACTATTTTCTATATATATTACAGGTTTGGTGTCAATTTTGAAGAATGTGAAGGGGCTAGCATCACCTTCAATGATATTTATGCAAACTGCATTGCAAAGTGTATTCAACCACAGCCAACAAGGGATTTAGTTTGGAAATTGGTCACACGTATTTTTTGTGTAACACCCCAACTTGTCAGCATTAAAGGTGAAAAAGTAACTGTTTACAAAAATATCAGTTACAGAAAAGTAAATGAAAACAACAGCGTCATTCCACCATTCCGCACAGACCTTACAGAGCCTGATTCCACAACATTAACTTTGGAGTGTCCACTTAACACTTGTGTGAATGGAAAGCCTTTAAAATGTATAATTAGCCTGAAAGAGTCTAATACTGATGTTAATATATCAGGACGATTAATTGTGGCTAGGCCCTTCCACAAAATCGACAAACAATTGATGGAATTATTCAAGTTCCCCACACAGTAATGTTATGTAAAAGGGTACCTGTAAGTGAGAAGTTGCCAAAAGTATTTGTTTAAGAAGATATATCTTCAATTCACGACAAAACAATCAGTCATATAGCCAGATCAAAGTTCTGTAAAAAACTGGTCCCATTTTGTGGTAAAGTAAGCTCATGTGTTACATGTTCTAATTCATTGAAGCAATTCAATAGGAATGTTGAAAAGCAAAAAAAACTGGATATTTCGTTCTTAATCAAGGAATCACCATCAGAAAACTTAAGATTGCCATTAAATGACTCTTCAAATATACATGTAGTTCATGCTGGAAGTTCTCTGCTCAAAGATGAACCACCTTCAAAAAAATTGAAATCAGTTTTAAATGACACAACCAATTTAATTAATCCTGAAAATAACTCTAAACAAGAAGCAGTAAATGAAAACATCAACCCGTCACTGAAATTAAGTGAACAATCCCACACTGATATAAAAAATCTTTTGGAAATCATGTTAAAGCAAGGTCAAGCTGGAGAATTTAAAGTACTTATAGAAACTCAGCTCAGTAACTGTAATAGTGAAATAAATGTTCGAAGGAGGAGGTGGGATCCAAAAATTATAAGTTTATGTCTTAATATATTACTACGTTTACCAAAAGCCTACAGAAAATTGAAAGAAACAGGATTAATAGTGCTACCAACTGAACGGTTATTGAGATATTATAAAAAATATGGTAAAACAAAAGCTTGGTTTCAATGCAGATAATTTAGATTGGATGAAAAAGGAAGCCGAACGGAAAAAGATATGTGATTTTGGGTTACATGGTGGAATTCTCATTGATGAAATGAATATTCAGGATGACTTAGTCATAACCAAAAAAGGAGATACCTGGGACATAATTGGTATGGTTGACATGGGAGACACAAACAATACCATCAGAGAAGTAATAAATTGAAGGAAAAACGTTGAGATGGCCACACATATTTTACAATTCATCTTTCATGGGTTCACAGGATTTAGGTAAACATCTTATTATTATTTCATAATTTTTAACATTTGAACAGTATTTTGAAAAAAAGTAATGAAAAAACCATGAATTTCATTTTAATTAAAAAATGTACAAATAATACAAATAGTGTGTTTCTATTCTAATATTGTCATGACCCAAAGTTCCCTTTCACCTTCAAGAGTGACCTATAACCTCGAGACCTACTAATATGTTTGACACTTTAACCATGGTGATGGACATTTTTATCAAGTTTACTGTTTTACTAAAAACATTAATATCCATGTTGAAAATACTAATTAATCTAAGCAATAATACTTATATTTCATTGCTTGTTATACAGTGACATTACTTTTCTTTCAAGTTAAGCTAGATTTATAATATATTTAAGCAAGAATTATTTTTATAATAATGATTGAACAATTGTTGATATTGGAAAATGTTAACTTGGATAAAATACAAAATCTGCATAAAATATGAAGACACTGCCCCCACTCTTTGAAATTACTGAACTTCGTTTACTGATAAATTGGATGGATATAGAAATTTTCCTGTACACACAATATATAAATACATGGCACAATGTCTCTTAAATAATTACCAGTATACATGTATGTTTATTCACTGACTGTCCCATTTTTATATGATTTTTTTTACATTTTTTCTTGTTTAGATGGCCTGTGGTATACTTTGCATCCAGTACAGCAACAGCTTATGAATTATTCACAATATTCTGGGACTGTGTTGATAAGCTTGATGAGAAGGGTTTTACTGTCGACTATGTAATGATGGATGGAGCATCAACAAATCGATCATTCACAAATATGCTCATGAGTAACCCAAGAGAAATGAAATTTGTCTTCCATGATGTATTTAATTACAGGCATGAAATTTGTGCCATTCAAGACATTATGCACTGTTTGAAAAAAATTAGGAATAATATTGAATCAAGTGCCAGTGTAAATGTAAATAACACTGGAAGATATCTTACAATAAATGATGTTCCAGTACTTTGGGATCACTGGAAAGAATGTTTTTATTTTAACTTTCAAAACGGATTTTCAATACATAGAATATTAACAGAAGAACATATTCAGCTAATCACCTTGCCATTCAGATTTTGGATAAAGATATGCTCTACTTGATGAAAGCATACTAGGCAACACAAGATGACCCTGAAAGATTATCTTCATCAATATCAATTTTAGAAAATACATCTGAACTTGTTCTTATTTTTTCTGATAAAAACAGACCTATCTCAACATTGACAGATGAGAGGATAAACACATTAAATAAGGTATTAAACTTTTTTAATACTTGGGAATCAAACATAATCTCATCAAAACAGTATACAGAAAAAAAGAATTTGATGACATCACAAACAAGAGATGACGTAAATTCTTCAATATCTGGCTTTAATTCTCTCTGCAAACTTCATGTGAAAAATGGCAATAGTTTAAACCCCGAATTCATGAACTCTGATTTGGTCGAGAATTTTTTCTGTCAGCAGAGAGGCATTCGAAATGGACTTAACACAAACCCAACACTGGCACAAAATGGTCCTTCAAACAATTCAATCATTCTAAGTCAAAATAGTGTAAGTAATAAAGGTAATTCTGGAACAGCTACTCAATTATACAAGGCACATAAGCCATGTCCCTTTAACCCTCTTCGAAACAAAGAAAACAGGCTTAAAAGAAGAAGCATCCGTTTGTAGTTCACTCTTTTAGACTGAAGAGGTTATAGTCTTCACCCCCTTAAGGTTGATGTCTACATGGTGGATGTTGTCGAAACCCCGTTGAAGTTGAAGAGTCACATCTTTCAAGAACAATGTTTTTGTTTTGCAATCTTTGTTTTGATTTGGTTTCATGGCGCACCAACACAGTATTATATAGATTATATGAAACAGGAATGATTATTTTGGATAACCTCGGATATTTCAAAGCAACCAGGGGTTAAACCACCTCACCTGTTGGAGCTGAGAGATGCATAGACTCCGGAAATTTGAATCTATTTAGTCGCCTCTTAAGATCACGCAGGAATAAACAGTGGCTGCAATTCTGCTGATGCCTCAATACTAATAAGCAATCTAAAGCAATTGAAACCAGTGATCCCAAAGTAATTAAAACATGCATCAAATACTTCCAATTATTGACTATTGAATTGGAACAATGTTGAGTTAGTCCGAATGACCTGAAAATTTACTGAACAGTGCTGAAGTACATTGCTAAATTGTTCAACATTTACAGCTTACCTCAATGTGTATGTTTTGCCAGTTCCACAAGATCCTGTTAATAGAAAACTGTGACCTTTTACTGCTAAGGAATGAGCATGAAGTTGTTGAGCCATGATAATTGTTGATAAAAGACAGATGGTTTAAAAGACAAATTATCCGGGTATTACTCTACATATAGCGCGTGATATTCGAGACTGCCCCTGGCTATTATCTATATCCGAAGACTGACGGAAAGGGCCGAGTAGTTGCGATAGCGCTTGTTACTTCCCTTGTATTCACTCCGTATCACAACAACAACAACAGGGTAAATGGAACCTGTCTTGAACGCAAACTAATGGTTTAAGTGAAGATTCTGCGTCACTAGACCAAAGTTATTAACGGTATATAGTAATAAATAGAGTTAATATGCTGTATTAATTTGTTTTAGCTCAGGTATTTGTCTCACTTATGATATTATCGGTAAATTGCTGTTGTCTAAAGTGGGTGGGGTAAACATGTTGTTTCCTTCCTTGTGTTTTTTTATATATAGGTATGGATTTCTTTTGGGAATTTGACTTTAGGGCAATTATTGGTAGAATTTCAAGCTCCTGTGATATAATATATGCTACCTAAGACTATAAGAAATGTTTAAATTCTTAATGTAGATCAATTCCTTTTTTTTTGAATAGTGAACAATTTTAAAAACATAAAGAAAACCAAAGAATGAAACAATGAAAAGGATACAGGTTCTGTTTGATTTTGCATGTTCGTGGATGGTAGTGATCAGTGCAAACTCCCTTGCATGCACATTTTCATTATCCCTCGTGCACAAACTAAGTTACACCGAGTCTGCAAATTTAATGTTATTTTTTTCTAATTAATGCTTCCGAGGGAACACCCTTTTCCCCGATTTTTCAGTCAAAGTGTACGGTTGATATCTAAGGTCTTTGCGTTCTTACATGACTGCATGTTTATCTACGCTAAGTAACATAACACTTGAACAATGAACGCGTCTATAAATGTTGTCTAGTACGTTTAATACTAAATTCATTTATCTTCAAACAACAATACTGTTATAATTGGTGAATTTGTTTGAATCACAAACAAACTAAAATGAGCCTATTTAAATACCTGTCAAACACAATGTTTTCCCGTGTGCCCCTTCCGATGTGTTTTTTTACAATTGGTAAAGTAAACAGATTTAATGTCACAAATAGGTAGGGCTATTTCACCACTAAAGGAGGTATATGAAATAATTGTGTGTTGAATAGCATAAAGAAATTGTTCGCATCTAGATCTGCTATTGAAGTATGATTTCTGTGGGGAAAAAACTTTAAAGTATATACGCACTATAAGTGTCCCTGACCTATATTCGATTGATAATTATTATAATAATATATATTAACAATTATAATTGTATCACTTTGCAGAGGCACTATGTTGTCTGATCGGTTCATACAACTGTGTATGTGTTTTTGGCATTAAGTAATTTAAAGTTATAAACGTGTATATTTGCTTACATAAATTTCTATAACTTAATCATTTATTATTAATAAAAAATGAAATGCCAACCCGGTATTACTATCCCGTAACTTCTGTAGCACACGTAGTTTACGTTTGATAGTCTGATACATAAGATATACATACGTTTATCCTCGATACATTCCGAAATTAATATGTCTTTGTAAATAACAGTCTTATACTTAACTTGAAATTACTAGTATATTCCTGGGGCTAGCTTACGGAACGTCGGTGGTTCTACTCAGGCGCCCGTTTTGCCTGAAATAATGCACGGAAGGGCACCTGAGGTCTACCTCCACCAGTAAAGCTGGAACGTCGCCATATGACCTTTACTGTGTCGGTGTGACGTAAAACCAAATCAAACAAACCAAAAATACTCCTGGGTAGGAAAATAAAATTGAAACTTAAATACGCGTATATGTCCTATTGAATTTTACATGGTTACAGTACTATTTAATGAAGAATCATGTATTCAAAGTTTCGATGCCTTGAATGCCCTAAATATGCATGTTTTGAAAATTTCTATGATTATAATATACTAATATTACATGCATTTTTTCATGTCAAATTTAAAAAAAGCTTTCTTTCAACACTGAAAGTAGAACACACTCTGGAATGAAAAAAATGGGATGAATTTCAAAAAGGCCAAATTCAGGAATTTTTTGTTTGTTATACACGCGTTACATGGTGATACAGTATTTATTAATATAATAGAAGACTGTTACCTGAATTTTAGGCAGGTATGAGGAAATTCACTAACATCATGTTCGTGCGAGTCAAAGATATAGAAGCTATTTGACATTGGTGATATATATAAAAAATATTTTGTTAATTGATTTATTTGGAGATCAATATACTTTTTTGTTGAATTGCTTTAAAACCATTCATAAAAACAATGACAAAGTTTAAAAGCGTCAAACAATATATGTTTTTCATATAAAGAATAATTTGTTCGGATAGAAAATTTAGCTTTATAAAAAGTTCGACAGTAATAAGTCAGTTCTGACTTAATATGAAAACATAATATACACACATTTTGTTTTAAGTTGACCCTATGCAGATACATGTATGATCAATTCTGGAACACAACCACACTAGAGAATTATCTAAATGCATTTAGATCGATTCAGTACTTTTATTTATTTACTTTTATTTATTTAATATTTCTATATGGCTTTTTATCAAAATCCAATACTTTCTTTTGTTGAGAAAACGGGTGTATAAGTACTCACATCATTATATGTACGTGTGGTGTTATAATTTTTTCCAACGTTCTATTGAAAACTGAATAACATTAATGGTTTTGATTGATACAATTAAGATGAAGTACTAACTTGAACAGTTGTAAATAATTCCTTGTCGAGTAATGTTTTTACAAACAGCAAACAAACATTTTATTCCTAAAATGTTAGACATCAATTTTATTGTGACGGATTCGACAGCGAATAAAACACAATGGAACTGAAATAAAATGATACAAATGAGCTGAAAGTTTAACCGTTATTGTGCTTTCTTAGTAGACAACACTCATTGCTTCGTGTTGGTTGGTTCGAGGAACGGTTTGAGAATGTTCCAATAAGCTTATAGATGATTCCAATCAAACTAAAATAAATTTGTATAAACTAAATAATGTAGATGAGCTGAAAGATTAATCGGAATAGCACTTTATCTGACATGTCTGAAATGACTACATAGGTCAGTCTTATAACTCAAATGGCACATGCAAATTTTAAATGAAGTTAACCGTATGGTTTGCGAGATATGGATATTTTTCGTAACTAAAGCTTGGCTATTAGAAGGGTTCATTTTTAAAAATGCGAATCTCTAGATAATCTACGATATTATAATAATTATGAAAATGTTTTCCTATTGATAATTATTAAGAAACAAGTCATAGCATTCAGTTAACAAATCGCACAAGCAAAATGATTGATTCTACTAAAAATGTTTGAAATATGTATAAAAAATGTTACCCTACCCCTGCCATTTTAAAAACTTGTTTGACCATTTCCGTATTTAAGAAGTCTTTTTCAAAATATCCCTAACATTTACGAACATAAGGGGCTGTTTTCAAATTTTGCATAACTTTTCTTAAAAGTATACTGGTTGATCCCGTCAAATATAGAATACCTTTACTTTGTAGTTTTTATTTTTAAATTATAAGACTTTGAAAATATCAGGGACCATATTTGTAATTTAATTTGACATATTTTTGCCAAAATATAACGTTAATCATTACAAAATTAAATTCATTTAAGTTCAAATTCATTTTTTTTTATTCCAAGAATGATCTTAGAGACACATAAATAATGTTTAAAGAAGAACAAAAAGTTAAAAAAAAGTTGCTCCTTCTGAGGTTTAAACCTGCTCCCTGCAGTTGACAGTAGTTCTAGCCTGAATACTTTTCAA